TTAAGATAATATATTATTATGAAGTAACATAACCTTCAGTGTACTACAACTATGATTGTGACAGTGAATTTGTGTGTGTCAGAATTGACTGAAATCCTAAATTTTCTCCACGGCATAACAAAAAATTGATACATATCATTTTTTAAACTTTCTTTGGTAATAAGTTTAAATATCACTTATTCACTAATTATATCCTTAACGATTCATTTACCTCGTTGTTTATCGATTGCTTTCGTAGATATGTCCGTATTATTTTACTCTTTAGAAGTAAGAAAGTCAAAACTTGATGTATAGATGGTAAATCAGACTGTATTTGTTTCGGGTAATATTCACTGTTTAATATGTAGTCAATCTGAAAAAAACATTTTTAAGTTGGTTTATAAATGTTTCAAGTAAATTGTAGTTTGCGTTTTATATAATTACGTTTTCCAATGTAGTTTCTATACTTTGGACAGTTTCATTCAATATTTTCATATTGTTGTCATACGAATTGGTACCGTTTAAGCATTTTTGTACATACATCGACTGAAACATCGTAATTCCCATATTATTATTCAATATTAAATAGAACATTAGTTATTTAATACATTAAATGAATGCGGAACTATTCTTACATCATGATTATTCTTTTTTTTGATTGATTTTTCAACTTTTTTGATATTATTAACAGAGTAAGTTATTTCTTCACCATTAGAAGTAAAGTTTGACATTATTCCAATGCTTTGATTATAATTTGTTGAATTTATTATTTCATGCTGTGGTGCAGCGTTAATCTGAAAATCAATTTTCGATATAAAACCTAGATTTATCTTTTCCACCCTAGTTTGATTCCATTTTCATATTTTTTACCCTAGTTTCAACCTTGAGTGTTCAAAAAAAGGTACAACTTTAGACATTTAACAAGAAAATTATTTAAAATACTAGTGGTTTAAAATATTTGTTTCAATCCGAAATTTGTTATGAAAAGAATAAGTTAAGATTAAACAATTTTTATCACACAATTGTCTTATTTATTGATATTGATTATGATTTAACTTAAGAATTAATACATCCTAAATTCAATCTTTAACAAGGTTGAATATAACATAAAAAAGGATGAAATTAGGTCGCAAATTTTGACTCGGAATGTGTTAGATTTTTTATTTTCTAATACATTTAATTACCTGGTTTATTATCTTCATTAAGAGAACAAAGTAAGATAATTTTAAATACATGTTAAGTTATTTTTTATTTGCTTTCAATTACTTACAACATCTGAATACTTTAAAAGTGCTAAAGAATTTGTTGGAGCCTAAAAATTTTTCCCCCTTTATATATTACTGCATTATCTCTTCTTCATTACAACCATACATCAGTGTTTATATTTCTGTTTTTAACATTATTCCAGATGTTTTGATCAATTGTACGACTGTGAGTTTTAAGACGAATGAAAATTAATAAAAGAAAATATATTATTTTTGTCTATTTTAATATTTTTATGGCATGGCCTTGATCAAAGAATGTAAATGTTGTTCTTTAAATATAATTTGATATCAGTATAAGCATTTTTTTTTATCTTTCATAGTTTGATGGAACTTTATTTAACTTTTGATACAATCGATAGGACATATTCTTTTGTTTTCGCAGGTTATTATTTTAACAAAAAATATTCAAAATATTGAGTATACTTAATGTTAAAAACAATTTAAACATAAAAAATAAATTTTTTTTTTAACAATTGCAATAACTTGTAACATCATTTATTAATTAATTTATTTGATGACATGTATTTAATAGAAACAGTCGAGATGTATAGTAAAATAATTAATTTTCACTGATTTATTTTTAAAAAGTACTTCTCTCTATTAATTTTTAAATCAATGAATTCTCGTCAAAATATAACTCCTAAGTTTTTTTTTCATACTATTCCTATCTTTTCTATCCTAGATTAAATTTTTTGTTCCTAATATCATTCTATTCAATTTTTTGAGTCGATACAAATTAGAATAATAAAGCCTAAGTTTAACCTTCTGATCCTAATACTGTTTTTATCCTTCTGAAGTTGGTAAAAATTGAGATATAGACAGAATAGCCTGATTCCAACCTCATAAATTGATTTGCTTATATCTACACTGAGAAAAAAATTTCGTTAAATGAAAGAATTTTGTATCCAATCAATAAAAGAAACTTGGAATATTCTAAAGATAATATTTTATTCAGACTAATAGTAGTGTTATCAAAAACACATTTTGTCTTTTGTTTCAATGTTGCGACAAGTTTGAAAACAAATTTTCAAGGTTACGACAAGAATCAAAATAAATGACATTTTATATAAAATGATTTCAATGAAATATTCATAATTTCGAAGAAATATTTTATTGCGACTATTTGAAATTTCGATGTTAATGATCGAATGGAATATTTTTTGTATGAAGTAAATTTTTTTCTCAGTGTAGAAGTACTTTTGGAAATAGTGAGAACAAGGTTACGATTCATATAATGGATTAATTTTCCAAAAATTATATTTATTAAAAATTGAATTGTTTCAAATTATTTATTACAACCCAATAATGAACTAAATGAAATTGCTCTTTTAAATATGAACATGGTCAATATTATAATAACTCCCATTACAGTCATACTTGTTTTAATAATACATATGATGTCAATGCTGATGGACAGCCCAATTAGAATTGAAATAAAATAAATAATTATGAATAATATTGTTTTTATTAAAATAAAATTACTCGAATCTCAAATAAAATTAGATTGAAACCAGGAAAAGAAAAATAAAATTAGTATGAGTTTAGAATAAAATTGAAAAATTTTCGTCCTACGGAAACACTGATTTGTTACGTATTCCGACTTTAATTAGGATTTGTTCATCTTAAGTTAAACCTTGAGACAGGACAGTCTTAAGATAAAAACAGGTGTTATACTTGGACTCGGGTTTCAAATATTTCGCAGTAATTTTTAACATTCCATTTTTAGAAGTTGTTATCTGCATATCACAAACATAAAACTAGATAACATAATGGAACATTTTCAAATAAATTACCATATAATTAATCATATAATATTAATTTAGTTCAATGTTTCACTACGAATGGAGGTGCCACTGTGTTTACGTTTGAGCTGTATGAAATTATTATCATTTTAATTCTCAAGTCAAAACCAGGTCTTGACTATAAGTGACTTGATTTAGACGATTTGAACTTGGTTTTGGCATAATTTAATAAAATAAAATTTTTTCTGTCAAAGCTGCTAAGTTGAAAACAGGTTTTAACTCTTAAGAGAAATACAAGATCTACTTTAGACCTATTGTCAATAACAAATAAAAAGTTATGCGAAATACATTTATTTGAAATTGAAATTTGAGATAATCGAGTATCTACGCGGGTCAAGGTATTGCTTTTCAAATTGAGCGGTCGCAGGTTCAAATCCCATTGGAAGAAGACGAAAAAATACATTTTCATTCCTACAGCTCTTAAAATTATCAGTCAATTTGATAGTTCTTCTGAACAAATTGAAATACAACATGAATAAAATATTTCGCCAGTAAATTTTTTTTTTAATTAATGTTTAAATTTAAATCAAATGTTATTCGGCTCGACCAATTGACATATTTACTTATACACATACTAGTACATTTTTGTCGAAAGAAAGACATAGGGGAATACGGGGCAAGATGGATCCATGTAGAGTCCCGCAGGTCTAAAGTTCTTTAATAAGGTCTTATGGAAATTTAGACATAACTCAAGCAATATGGCGTTGTCTTGCCAGACTCTGTCTTAAAGAACTCTAGATTCATGGAGCAAGACGGCTTTTTCGATTTTTGGTAACTTAGTGAAGCAAAATGGATCCTCCACAGCTGTTAATACGAAAGTAAACATTGAGTTGAAAATATATTTATCACTCAAAGTACATTACTATGTGTATAAGTCATTTTAAAATTCAAAAAGCCGTGTTGCCCCGTATTTCCCTGTATCGGAGTTAAAATCTGTTTTTTAACTTTGAAAATTTTTAGACCTAGTTTGGACTTAGGAAACAAGACTTGATTTTGGATCAATTATTGCGTATGTAGTTCTAAATCAGGTCAAGACAATTTTTAGTTTTGATCTGCTTTTGACCTTTTTTTAAAATCGAAATTAAATTTTATTTTTTGACTCAGATATATTCTCTAAAGATGAATTAATAAAAATTACTAAAAGTCAGTGTAGTGCAATGAATATTTACTTATTCATATGTAGAGAATAAATTTATCAAAAGTAGTAATTACAAAGTTCAAAAATAATTCTAGAGGGCAGATAAATCAGGATAGAAAATGTAAAAAAATGGATTTCAATTAAGTAGAAACTCTTTATCTCTCATTCGTATGAGAAATACATCATGAAAGTTGTATCCAATAGTCGATTAATTGATGTGAATCTGGGGTTGAAGTTTTTATTACCACAGGATATGAGAGTGAAAATTGGTTGGTAGATAATATTCAAAGTATCGTGATGAGTTCGTGGCTAGGATAGGTTTTGATGACGAAGGGTTTAAATTGAAACGTTCATTTATCCAATAGTTATTCGGATCTGTAATTTGCTTAAATCGAATGTCATCCAGGTACGCCACAGAGTGGAAGAGAATGAACAAGAGGAAAAAGGGTGAAAAAAGTAACATAAAACTTGATAAATATATAAAAGAAAATGTACTTTTTTATTCATACTGTTTGTTGTTTTTCTGTTTACGTAGAAATACAATTTATTATACTTTTAAAGTTTTCGTTTTCAATGAAAAGAGTTCAAAATTGAAGGGGAAGCAGCGAAAAAATATGAATTGGTATATGCTATGTATTGTAGTCGATAAATACATATAACTGAGTAGCATATTTATATGACAGAATTTTAGTATGTTTTTTATAACTTTTTTTCTTTTTCTTATCAAAAAAGTTTTTCATTTATTTCAGAAAAATACCAAAAGCAATTTACTGTCTTGCGGGGATTGTTTGTTCATCTTGGGCCATAACAAATAGCATGACAGACAATTTACATCGTCAACTACGTGAATTGACTTACCCTGAAGACAGTGAGATGGGAGTTAAGTTTTTCAACTTTTTTAAAAGCGAAGAAATTTATTTTCAGCTGCGTAAAAATTTTCTTCTTTTTCATTTTTAATATTTAAATTGAACGATTCTTATAATAACTATAATATTAAAAATATTCCTCTTATTTTGGTATTGAAAAAATTATTTTCTGAGAAACTAAGTAAGGCAAAGAGAATGTTTTTTAAAGTAAATTTATCTTGATAATATTATGTAATAAAAATAAATAATTTTTTTATAGATATTTTTTGCTCTAGCAATTCCGTTAGACGATCCAATCTCAACAAAAGCCATGTCCATGGCTTTTTTTTTTGAAGCAAATTATGGACTTGTAAGATCAAAGGACGAAAGGCTAAACTTGGGAAAACGAGCTTTATCTTCAAACCAACAACGTATAGATCGCAAGACTATTTATCAAATGTTAGAATCTAAATTCGAAGCGTAAGTATTTTTTTTAGTGTCATCGTTAAGACTTTAAAGTATTATTTCTATTGTATTTTCACTTTAAAAAAATATTTCGTAGACATAAATAATAAGACTTTGTATAAAAGAGAAGGAAGAGGGAAGCGAAACACTGTAAATCCAAGGTGTGTTACAGTAAACTTATCTACACGTGTTGAATATTGAGCGCCGTGAACAAACTATAGATTTCAACACGCTTTGAAGTGTGTCAGAAATGACTACAAAGATCTATAGTTTGAGTATAGCAATTTAACATTGAACACGGTCAAGGTGTGTTATTTTAACACACGTTCGATTTACAGTGAACACTCGAGAAAATGTACCAATTTATTAAAATAAGTGAGGGATTCTATAACACTAGTAAAGACCATTCTACAATTTTTGTTCTGCCCATAAAAATGATATGGTGCATTTGCGCCAAAAATCCCTTAGGAGTTTTCCATGTCTCATCAAGGTCAACAAATACCCCAAGTTTGGCCGATTCGGCGGTGATACCTAAACGGAACTCTACCCAAATAAGTTCAAAAAAGCTTGTAAAGTTTTTTGCTTATTGATTATTTAATTTATTAATGTATTAGGCTGCCGACCAAAGCGGATAAAACTGGTACTACGGGAGACCGAAATCCAAGCCCGCATCCGGGGCTGCAAAGTCGAAAAACGACATGCAGAGAACCAGGTGCTTTCGGTCAATTGAGGTTGGACTCGTAGTGGTATGTTGCAAGGCCTTGGGCTAGATGCGTGTATCCTCGTGCCTTTCTAAAGGCGTAAGAATATTACGTCCCAACTAACGCCGTCACTAGAAGTAGAGCCATTCCCAGAGTTATGCCCTATAAGGCGAGGTACTCAAACAAAATGTCCTTCTCAGGACAGGGGAACAAAGACTTATTAATGTATTAGAAAGTGTTAAAATTAGTTAATTTTTTGATTTATATTTCTTCTTTGTGTTTCACTTTATCTTACTTTCCTCTACTTCAACCCGTTTGTCTCAGGGAGACACGGAAATATTTCTTTGAAGGAGCACAATAAACATGACACTGTTATAGTCGTATTTTTGGTAGAAATGTAGATGCAAGGTCCTGTACTGATGTCGATGATATAACGATGAAAGAAGGATTGAGTAAAAAATATCCTGCCATGTAGGATAATCGTGTTAGGAGAAATCAGGACAATATGGGAGATAGTAAGAAATTATGATTACTTCAACGTTTTTAATAACCGTTTTTCAGAATTAATTGATGGAACATTTTATTTAACTTTACTTTATAAAAAAATGGAACATTTACAAAAAAAATTCGTCTCTTTTTACTATTTAGAGTATTTAATCACCAGAAATCTCAGTAAAAAAGTAAATACTGATTCTCAGGTATTGGAAAAAATTTTATAGGAATATTTTACTGGTTAATTTAGAGTAAAATTTACTAGCCAAAAAAAAATGGAAATCACTAGTTTTCTTTGAGTACAAATAGGCAAGAAACTTCGGAAAAAGTACTATTCTGGTTAGTAAAAAATAGCAAGAAAAGGTAAAAAGTTCAATGTTGGTTGGTTAAAATTTCTAGAAAAAAATTAATCGAATCAAAAATTTACTTTCTGAAAATAGTACTTTTTCCTAAGTTTGTTAGCTATTTTTACTCAAAAAAAAAAAAAAACTAATAATTTTTAATTTCTTTCTCTAAATTGACTAGTAAAAATTTCTTCCATATAAGAATTTTATAAGAATTATATATTAATGATATATAAGATACATTTATAAAAAGCATGTACACTGAAAAAAAGGCTTTATTTATAGTTAACATGTTACTTTTATGGTTAAAATTATATATTAACTGTTAGTAAGCCTTATTTCAATTAAACATGATTTTTTTAGTATATGCACAGTATAAAAATCGTAAGTAAAAAATTTCTTAATTAAAATTTTATATGATTAATATCAAATTAATTTTATTAAAGTCATACATGAATCATATAAAATTCAGATAAAAAAATTTTTATATATGATTTTTATGTTGTTTATATCGCTTTTTATAATTTCCATATTCGGCCAATTTCAGACATTATTCTTATAAGATTCAGTATTTATTTTTAACTTGGGAATCTAGGTGACTGCGAAAGCAAATATTAATTCTCATTTTACTTCAGGTAAAATTTTATATTACCGTCATCTTTTTTACACTGTACAAGAAAACTGAAATTCATCCTGAAAGAGAGAATAATTTGTCCTTCCATTTTGTAAAATTTTCTATCTTGTAGAGTAAATTTGACTATTATTATCCAATGTACCTTAATCACACTGAACGACTGTGTAATTTTCATTCAATTCTCTTCTAGAAAAATCTTTAATATTCACAGATCATAGATCTGTGAATAAATTGTAATCTCGTAATTTTCTTGGCAATAAAAAATAAGTAGTATTATGGAAACATGAAAAGTTAAAGGATTTATTTGTGAATAGAAAGTAGGTTGATAAGTATAGTAGGCTGATCAAAAGTAAATGGTGAAACTTTAGTAGCTATTCGTTGTGACGCAGCCACAGAAGAGTGAATGAGGGGTTGAAGGAGATGGCAAGAGTAGAATACGATAGGATTAAGGATTAAACTTAGCGAATGCGCCCAAGGAAACGGAACGCGATAAGGTAGATCGATGCTATTCGTGATTCGATGAATCTTTCGCAGAAAACGAGCAAGAAAAATTGAGTTTGAGATTGATGTGATTACGGGTCGATAGTCGACGAAAACATTATCCTATTTGTGGAGAAAGGTATTCGGTGTAGTGGAAAGAAAATCCGATTTTAACATTCATTCGAATTGTTGTAATATTCGAAATTATATTTAAATGTCACCAAGAATCTTTTATTAGAATTAGTTTATTTCTTTTCATAATATTAAAATTAATTTTATTATTTTATTGTAACGTTTTCATGTCGGAAAATAAGACCTGTCTTTTAGAACTGACAGTTCTAAGAAGACGACTAGTTCAAATAAATTTTTCTTTTTCCTGCGGTTGGATCATTTCAAACCCAACTATTTAGAAACTAAACACTTGAAGTGTTTGCAATGTTAAACATCATAAACGAACTATGGTAATTTTGTAATAGACTTTTAAACGCTTTTTGCCGTTTACCAAAATGCTGTAGTCTGTTTATGGTGTTCAACATTGTGAACACTTAGGTATTTAATTATTAAACACTTTAAGTGATTCATCACTAAACACTCGAACTTTTACGAATTTACAGTGATTTGAACCTGCGATGGCTAAATTCAAAGAGTTGTAAAGAGAATTTTGTATTCAAATCACGTCCAACTGATATAAGACCTGTTTTTGAGGGTCATTTTTAAATTTTGTTGTTTCTTTCTTCATCCTTCGGTGGAACAAAAAAAATTCTTTAAAGATTAAAGTAACAAAAATAAACAAGGGTATTAAATATCAAGGTCCGAAATTAAATTCATTTTTATCTAATAGTTAACATCTGGAGTAGAATTTTTTTAGACATGTTCAAGTCCTTCTTAGGCCCCACTCGAGAATTTCATGGGTTAACTCAAATAAAGCCTACTAACCTAGGTATAGTATACCTATAGGTATAGTAATAGGTATAGTATACCTATTGGCTTGATTTTTATGGTGTTACAAAGATGCCTAGAATGTATAATTGACAGATATATTTGATTTAATATAAAAATTAATAAAAGAAAGAATATATTATTTTTTGGTACAATATATTTGTCTAAATTAAGAATACATTTGATTTCCTTGGAATACAAAATTTTTGTCAAAACGGCTTAATTTCAATACCAAAAATATGTTATAAACATTTTCAATAAAAGTAATTTCTTTGAAATATTCCTTGTTTTGGTACGCTTTAAATTGTAAGGTAGTTTTTGAACGAATATTTGAAGAGATAAAAAATAAAACAAAAATACATTTAATTGCTTGAGAGAGTATTGTTACGTCTGACTTATTGATTGAATTTATTAAATTAATGTTCGAAAGGTTGATTAAAGTTACGAGAAGATCATGAGGAAGGAACAGGTTCGGGAGGACTGATTTTGACTAAGCCGGAGATTGAAACAGGCTCGACCCACTGAGATAACCTCGCGCAGATTCAGTATGATGGCGGTCTCCAGCAACCATTTCCTCTCCCTTCGGCGGCGATTCCGTCGATTCCTGGACACCTGACGTTTTAGATTTTTCAGGGCAGGTGGATGCTGCTCGTCGAGATGATTCGGTGACCGATCCATTTCAGGTCTTCTCTGAAGTGAACAGAAAGACTTGTTAGCTTCAGGTTTTGTCTATTAACTTATCTAATAATAAAATATTTGTTTTGGAAAAATCAAAGTTACACGAAACCCCATAATCTGTCGATGTAAATTTTTCGAGAATTAGGGAGGAAGGGAAATTACTTATGAATCGTATTACATATTCATTCGACAGATATAAGTCATTAAGATAAACAAAGATTAAGAAATCAAGGCGCTCACCACTGAAAAATTTCTTTTCGTAATATTATTAAAGATCTATAAGAAGATTTTTGAAGTACAATCACTGCAAGCGGGGAAAAGGGAGAGTACGAAGAAGGGGCTGCACCTCAATTGCGGACGAAGCCCAAAAATAGTGTAATAAAATGTCTCAGTTGCGGACGGGGTCAATTAGAAAAAGAGGTAGGTTTATGAAAGGGGTACTAATTTTGGAGAGAAGGGAGGAAAATGAGAGGTAGGGTTGGTTTTCTTATCGTTGATAAATAAAAAGGGTTTTTCAGGAAAAGGAAATTTTTAATCCTTGGAATTTCGGGATTGACACGTTTAGGCTATTTAGATACTGTTTTATTGCTATGAGTGTTCCTAGGTGTATTACTTTAAGTGACAGTAAATAAGACAATAAATAATTTGGTAGGTATACAACAAAGTTTTTCTAAAACAAATTAGGAAAAATTTTATGATGCTTAGTCATTTTTAATAGACACATGACCATTTTTGACAGAAGCCTGA